TCTAATAGTGACACAGGACTTGTGCTCAGCACTCTGCCACTATTGCTTTCCTGTCACAAATAATTTATAGCCTTCTATTTCCATCCCTGAGCCTGCACCCCAGCCCTGCCTCCCGCTTTCCCCCAGTGCCCAGGAATCAATAAACTCACGTAGCCACAGTGGGACTTCAGGGTGCAAGGAGACAGACAGACAGACGGGGAGATGGAAAGAGGGGCAGAGAAAGAGAGGGAGAGAGACAGAGAAGAAACAGGGAGGAAGGACAGAGCAGAGGCGGAGGAGGAGGAAGAGGGAGACGGAGAGGGGTAAGGATCTTCTGGTGCTTTCCGAGAAGGTAGAGAGCGCCTGTCCTTCTTCCCGAGTTTACCAGTGTGATAGGAGACTTGTGCACCACTTTCCTCCTAACTCAAGCCCCCAAAACTGTTTGGATCTCTAAGTTGAAGGAGGTGAACTCCTCCTGGGAGTTTAACCAAAGAAGAAGTGACCTTACCACCTCCCTTGTCAGCCTTTGTCGCAAGCTCTGCCACAGCCCCCTGGCATCAGTCTGGTCCTCTGCACTTCCTTCCCAGGGCCCCAGGCAGGGCCCGATCCAGCCCCAGTCTGTCTCCCTGAGTCCTCCTGACGCCACCTCTTTTTGGGTCAGACTGTTGCCTGTCTTCTCGGTGCCCTCCCCCAGGGTCTCCATGGCACCTGCATGGACCAGGCTGGGGCCTATGGGATGGGGAAGCCTCCCGCCTACATCTGGCCCAGGCTCCAAATTGAAAGCAGCCAGACCTAGGGGTCACCCGTAAGAGTAATAGTACTGGTCATTATGGTTCTTGTAGCCAACGTTTGCTGAGCCAGCCAGCACACGAAGCACACGAAGTAAGTGATTCCCCACTTACTTCTCACTACAGTGCTGGAAGAGCGGAGTAGCGTGATCTTACTTTAGACAGGAAGGAATAAGAACCTGCCCAGAGTTTCCCAGGCAATAAGGAGTGGAGCAGGGATTCAGACTCAGGCAGACTGAGCCTAGAGCCCAAACCCATATGCCCTTTGCTGCACCTGTGAGTGTGGGAGCCTCTGAGTGCCCGGGAGTCCTAGTGCCTCTCACCTGAGGTAGTGGAGGAGCCAGCAGCCTGCGAGGAAAGTCGGGAGAGAAGGGAGGGTGGGGAGCGTTGCAGGGTGGTCTCTGGGAGTGGAGATGCAGCCGCCAGCGTCCCAGTGGCCCCCTTCATGGATCTATGTCTGGGGCTTGACTTCCAGGTCAAACCTGCCTGGGCCATGGGGGACGCAGCGGTGCCTGGCTGTCTAGTGGAGCTGAGGATGAAAAAGCCCTGGATGGGGTGGGGGGCCTGGGGGTAGAGTATCAGGTGTCCCCCTAAACAACCGCTTTGTGTCATTGTTGGATCCCATGTGCTAGTCCCTTGAATTGTTGAATTTACGAGGTGCAGGTGGGCACTGGATGACATCAGCTTTCCATGTTCTCAATTCTTAAATCCCCCTCAATCGGCTCCGGGGACTGGCAAATGCCCACTGCCTCGGGTCGTGGACGGACACCAAGAGCACTAGGAACTGGCAGCAGGCGCCCTGCCCAGCTGCTCTCCCACGCACCACCAAGCGCTGTCAGGGCGTAGTGATTTCCCATCACTTGCGCCCCTGCTAAATCCACACCAGTGCCCCAGGGGTCAGAGGCTCTGGTAAGGAAGACGGAAACTCCTTGCGCGTCTGGTTATCTGTCTCACCCAGCCCCAGCCGTGGGGCTCCCTTAGGCCCCAGCCTAGCAGCCTTCAAGCCGGAGCCACTGTGGGCCCAGTGAAGCTTTCGTGGCAGTGAATTGGGAGCAGCTGTTCTGAGCTGCTCAGTGGCCTTCTAGACTTCTCTCGTAGATGCGTCTATACTGTCCTCAGCTATTGACCAGCCCGTGTCAGGCAGTCTTGCTGCAAACCTTCCTTCCATCTCATGGGACGTGCCTTACCTTTTGCTTTACTGAGAGAGGAAAACTCCTTCGCAAAGCTCCTGGCCACCTGGCAACAGGCCATCCCAGCGGATCCCCTTGGCCCCGCCATCTCCTTGCTCTGCCCAGCGCTCATCGTCCAGTCTTTCAGGAACCTGAAGCCTCTCCCTCCTCGCTGGCTTCTCCTCGGCCTAACAACTTCCCGGGTCTCTCTTACCCCAAAAGCTTTCCTCCCACCTGCTGTGGGCTCCACCCTCTGACTTCCGGACTTTGCTCTCCTTCCCTCTTCTACAGACTTCTGAAGGCTGTGGTCTGCTTCTGCTGCCTGTTTCCTCCCTGTTCATGCACTAACCTCGTGCCGTCTGGTCCCTGCTCCAGTTGCTTTGCTGAGACGCCTGTCCCCAAGGCCAGAATCTCCCAGTCCCTTTTATTCCCAGTTCCCCTCAGTCTCTATGTTGCCGTGGGCACCACGGAGGGTGTTCTTGAAACGTTTTTCCCCGTCGACTTAGGTGTAATGGCCCTGTGGAGGTTCTGCCCACAGCCACTCCTTCCAACACTCCTTTCTTCGTCATTCTAAATCTTTTTCAGGCCAGCGGATGTCTGGGCATGTCAACCTAGGCACTCCCCTGCCACCTCCAAGGCTGCATGTCCACCACCTGTGTCACCATCTCACCTCCCCCAAACCAGTCACCCCCTGCATCCCTGTTCTTTTCTTTTTAAGGATTTATTTATTTCAAAGGCAAAGCTATAGAATGAGAGAGGAAGAGTCAGAGAGAGAGAGAGAGAGAGTGAGAGAGAGTGAGCTTTCATTGGCTGGTTCACTCCCCAGATGGCTGCAGTGGTTGGGCTGGGCCAGGCTGAAGCCAAGAGCTTCCTCTGGGTCTCCCATGTGGGTTGCAGGACCCAAGCATTTGGGCCATTTTCTGCTGCTTTCCCAGAAGTATTAGCAGGGAGCTGGCTTGGAAGTGGAGCAGCCAGGACACGAACGGGCACAAATGGTATGCCAGCGTCGCAGGAAGCAGCTTAACCCGCTACACCACAACCTGACCCCTGCATCCCTATTCTGCAGCATGAACCACCAGGCTTCCTGTTACCCAGAACCGGGGCTTTAGAGCCGTGCTTGACTCTAGTTCATTGCCAGACCGTGGCCGTTCGGCCTCCGCGGTGTCTTACACATGCTCTCCTCTCATTCCTGGGACAGCTTCCATCCCTTGAGACCTATTTGTCTGCCTACCTTCTAGGTTAGAAATTGCCCATGCTGACCCCTCGTCAGCCTGGTCCTCCACACTGGGGGAAGGCTGACAAGCTACCGCAGGCATCGATTGTGAGGTCTGAGTTCCGACTCTGCCCTCCCTGGCAGTGGGCTCCTAAGTGGACTGCTTTGGTTTTCAATTTGCAAAATGAGGCTGATGGTGTCTACATTGGAGGTTATTGTGAGAATTAACAGAGTGTATATAAGTCATATAAACTGTATGTAATATCAGTACTTAATAAATGCTCAGTAAGTGGAAAATAGCTATTATCATTATCACATCCACGTTTTCAGCCTTATTTCTCCTTCCTTCCTTACCCAGCCCTGCTGCTCCCGGCTGACTGGTTCAGGCGTTAACCCCCAAACACCCTGCTTACCTGGCTTCTTCCACGCTTTGCTTCCTGTTTCTCCTGCACCTGCTTCTGTAATGCCTTCCCTTCCCCTTCCTTGTTCATCTTAGATTTGTGTTGTGTTAGTATTTTCTTACGCTGGGGAAAGAAACCCCAGAGATCCTGTCGTCCAACCCTTGATGGGGGCCTGGAGTGCTGAGGGCCATGTGGACTCCTCCTGGTTGTCAAACCCAGGCAGTGCCATTTCCACTGCGCCTGGGCCTCTGATTTCTGCCCTCTCTGCTTCGCTGACCAACATCAGCTTCCACCTCCTCTTCCCCAAGTCCCCTACCGGCAAGGGGGCGGTTCCTCCTCTGCATCTCCTGGCACTGCCTGCCTGATGCCCTGGGGTTGCTTGGCTTTCTTAGGGTGCAGGGCTTCCCTCCCCGACTTCACGTCCACCCCTGTGAGGGACGTGGCTGCAAATGCTCGGGAAAAGCTGGCTACAGCCGAGTTGCTCAGGGCTGGTGACTGCTGGCTGGCTGAAGCGACCGCGGCTCTCACAGCTCTCTGTGGGGAGGCGCCATGCTGCCGGAGAAGGTGCTTCCCAGGGCCCCTGATTTGACCAGAAGGCCGAGGGGAGCCTGCCTGCATGCTGGCTTCGGACTTCGTCTTTTGCCTTGTTGAGACCTGGCCCGCTGAAGGGCAGGCCCATCCCAGCCCTGGCGTGTCTGATTTGGGCCCTGCCCCTGGGGTGGACAGGGAGGTGAGCACCCACATTCCACCCAGATTGCTACAGAATCTTAGATCCCGGCAACACCCTCAGAGAAGAGGCCCTTGGGCCAGCCTATGGGACCAGGGTTCTGAGCTGCGAGCAGTATGCAGGCTCAGGGTGAGGTTGTTCAAGATTGATATCTGGCAGAGGTACTGTGTGCTGTGTTGAAATCCTGGAACCAAAGGGTCACGTATGACCCAGCCTTTCCCTGGGTGCTTGTCCTTAGCTTGAGATGTGGGGAAGGCCCATCCTCCTCCGCTCAACCTTGGAGGCCTGTGCTGCAGTCCCCATAGGAATGCAAGCTCCAAAACGATCCCCAAACCCAGGGGGTGCAGGTGCCAGCAGGAGACAGATATGTGGTTGAGGGGGGAAAGCTGGACCACAGGTGGACAGGAAGCCTGGAAGGAAGAAGGGTGCCACACTCCACTCAGTCTGCTGCCCGATCCTTCTGAAACCGAGCTCCAAGTCTGCTGGTGGCGGTGCACGGGGCAGGACAGCGTGCACACTGCCTCCTCCCACAGCTGCACGAGACAGGCTGCATGCCCAACAAGGGGGAAACCTGGTGCCTGCAATTAGAGCAGGAGTTCAGGCAACAGAGGGAAGGGGAAGGAGCCGAGGAGCTTGGGAGAGAGCCTGTCCGCGGAGCAGGGCTGGACTGTGCAGGGGCAAGAGCCGGCCTGTGTGGGTGACACACATGTGATGCTGTTGCAGGATCATCCGGACCAAAGTGCAGCAGCCTTTCCACCCAACGCCAGACGGGACTGGGACAGGCGTGACTGCCCCCGGCCACACCATCGGTAAGAGGGCTCAGGGGAGGGGAACACGGCCCCACCTAGGGCAGCCAGGAGATGCAGCTCCACCGCGAGGAACTGCCCACCTGCCTGGGGTCTGGGGCCTCTGCGGTTCCCTTCCGTCCAGGGGCTCGTGGTCTCCCTACCTGGGAGCAGTTCACTGGGGTTGTGCTCTGCCTCCCAGCCACGTCGCCTAGCCTCTGCTCTGCCCGGGCAGTCTCTGTCCTCGTCTCACTCTCTCTCTCAATCCGTACTCTGCCTTTGGCGTTTCTTCTTCCCATCCCCATCTTCTCGTTTTCTCTGGTCTGCCTCTTTCTCCCTACCTGTCCCTCTTTCTTCCATCTCTACCTTCTTACTTCATACTCATTTTTTAAACTTTTGAAACCATCCTCTCTTCTCTCCCTCTCTGCCTTTCCCTTGTTCTGTTTTCCTCTCCTTGGTGCCTCTGATGAGTTCCTCTTTCTCCCTCCCTTCTCCCAGCCTCTTTTCTCTGAGTTCTCTCTCTCTCTCTCTCTCTCTCTCTCTCTCTCTCCACCTTATTTCTTGACCCATGCTCATGGACTGTCATCACACAGCCTAGGCCTAGCAGAACACCTGCTAACACCCCCCTACCCCGCAGCGTACACACAGACTGTCTTCCTTTTGGCCCAAGGGTACCTGGCTGCTGCCGTAGCCATAGATGAGGCCTGGAGTTTGAAGAGCTGTGGTGCAGATAAGATTTTCTTGATGCCCTTAATGGCAGCTGTCCCCTTCTCTCTTGACTGGCAGGAAGTGGAAAGGGTTGGCTTTAGCCTTCCTGGGGTTGACAGGTGCAGCTGTGTCCCAAGCCTGTGTTGGGAGGGAGTGCTGGGCCAGGCTAAACCTGAGTTAATTGTCACCAAGTGAATGGGTTCACCGGTCTGCACCAGGAGGGGGAACTTAGGTACTTCTCAAGTGATCACAAGGCCAGGAGCAAGCAGGAGAGAGAACTCCCAGGAGTTCCCAGCATGGGGCCGGGCCTGGGGTTCTTGAAGAATAGGCGCAGACCTTAGAGAACCACACACACTAAAGCAGGCTTGGCAAAGACCTGACCCAGGAGGCCGAGCTGCAGCTGGGGTGGAGAGGTTTGCCCAGCCCCAGGGACTGGATGAGTTGTGCCAAGGTGCTTCCTGGATTGGTTCAGCTTTGGGGTTGCCTGGGCCTGTAACTCCATCCGTCTGCAGAAGAGAGTTCAAGGACCCCAGTGAGACCCACGGACCAGCAGAGTAGGCCTGGGGTTGACCAGTTACCACCTACCCAGGGCTGGCAGAAGTGGGTAGTAGCCTGAGCTGTATGTACCACCAGGGACCCTGTAGCCTCAGAGGAACAGGGGGCATGTGGACTCCTCATCCCACCTGTGTCCTCTGCTTCTGTGTGCCCCCAGCCCCGGGGCTTTGGCCTACGACCACAACTGCTACCCTGATGGCATGTCCTTGCTCTCGTCCAGTTCCCAGCACGGCCTCCCCTCCCGTTTCCAGCGCCTCCAATGACCCAGTGGGCTCCTACTCCATCAATGGGATCCTGGGGATTCCTCGCTCCAATGGTGAGAAGAGGAAACGTGATGAAGGTAGGGAGGAGGGAAGGCGTTTGGCTTCCCCTACGCATGCTTTGTCCTTGGACTCAGGGCTCCGGTTTCGGCCTGGCCTCGCAGCTGCTCTGCTGTGAGATCAGTTTTAGTAGCAAAGACCAGGTCCCCCCACTGCCCTGCTGGCTCCTGGAGCGGGGGGAGGCTGCTGGTGGGGCCCCCAGCTGCACCATCTGCTCGGCAGCCCTGACTGCCTCTCCTTCCGCTGGGACACACCTCAGCTGTCCCTGTGGGATGCCGGGGACAGACGTGAGCCACTCACCTTGGGAGGGTTTTGGAGGCTGGGGGACAGCTGGCCTCTGACCTGTGGGGGAAAGGCTACCTTGTCCTCACCTGATCCCAAGCCATAAGGAGGTGGGAGAGTGATGTCACCTGCAGCCAGCCCCAGTGTCCTTTCTCTGTCACACACGGACACTGCCTTGCCCCATGGACACTGCTCGGGGAGCTGGGCATGGGGACTCTCTCCACGCTGTCCTCTGTGAGAGGCCACCCCCAGCCCCTCCCGTCCTTCCCTGAACACTCAGGGTGCAGCCCGGCTGTGTCGCAGGGAGCTTAGGAGGATGGAGGGAGTGCAAGGAGGAGGGAAGCAAGAAGGGGAGAGAGTGTTGGGAATGAGCCTGAGGCATGGTGCTTTGCAAGTGCTGTCACGCTGGGGGTCCCTTGGGGACCATTTGGTTCTCTCCTCAAGCAGTTGGGAGCAGGGCTGGCGGAGGTGCCGGGGTCTCAGGTCTGCTTCCTGTGCCCATCCTCCCACTGGCCCTGCGGGGACACAGTAGCCTCCCAGCCTTGGGGGGCGGGCGGTGGTGTGTGCATGTGTGCAGGATTATAAAGGTGTCTCCCATGCGACAGACAGAATCCTCGGACAAGGACCATAAAGGGGTGACACATACCCCATTAGCTCAGGACAGTCCCGATTTATGCCTGTTGTCTCTGTGTCTTGGCCAGTCAGCAGCTCCTTTTCCTCTCAAAAATGTCCTGTTTGGACAATCCGTCATGTGGCCATCCCCAGCCACGACAAGCCCTTGGTGGGGGAAAGCTCGGGGAGGAAGGACCGGAGGAAAGGCGCAAAGCAGGGATTGCGCAGGCCCGGCGCAGGGAGAGCGTGGGCGCGGCCCGGGCCTGGCAGGACGGGGATGACCTGGCGCTGGCCTCCTTCCAGAAGCCCTAATGGCCTCGTTTCACAGGGAAACAGCTTGTCTGGCTCTATTTCTCCTTCCAAAGTCTCCAAACCCATTTGGCTGCCACGGCCTTTGCCACTCACTAAATTTCATTGTGGTTGTTTTGGCCGCAGCCCCTGATGGGCGGGGTGGGGTGGGGGTGTGGGAAAGGCCCCGAGTCCCAGTTCTCTGGGGGCTTACCACCCCTGGGCCTTTGCCAGGCTTCTGGGCACCCTGAGTGCTTTGGGTGAATCTTGCCTCAAACCGCATGGCTTTCCTCCATGGCCACAGCCCCTGCCCGTTTCAGAGCAGGAGATGGCCTGGGCCCCTCTGCACTGCCTACTGTTGACCTGGGGTGGAGGTCCAGTGTCCCCTCAGCTGCCTGGGCTCCTGTGAGCCATGAAAGGAGGCCAGGGGGCCGGGATGCCCTGGCTCCCTGGCTGGAGGCCGTGGTCACCCAGGGCTGGGCCTGGCCTGCCCAGAACATAGTGCTCTCCCCTGGAAGCAGTGGGTCGTTTTCATTGTTCCAAATCAACTCAAGTCAGTGAACCTTTCCCGCGTATCAGCTGCAAGAAAGGCTTGGTGCTCCGGGCCCCAGAGCAGAACAAGATGTGATTCTTGTCCTTAAGGAGCTTACACTCTAGTGAGGCGTGTCGTACCCTCGAGCTCAGAGAGAGGAAGGGCCCATCAGATAGCCCTGGTGACGCAGGGTCTGGGAGCAAGGAGTTGGGGGCGAGGGTGCGCTGCAAGGAAGGGCTGCTCTTTGCAGAGGGGCCTGTGGGGCAGCCGAGGAGAAGGCTGGAAACCCTGTCTGATAGACTGAGCCTTGTGAGAGTCACAGGTGGAAGCAGCTAGGAGGTCGGGCTAAGTAAGTGGCTTTGGGTCCCAAGACAGCAGGCCAGGAACAGACCACGGGAGGCGCATGGGCTGGTTTGCAGAAAGTAGAAGCCACTGGAGGTATTCGGGCAGGAAGGGACCGGAACGGAGGGCCTCCGGCAGGGTGACAAAGATGGTGAGACAGTGCAGGAGCGTGAAGGATTCTGGGGGTCTCTAAGTTTCCAGGGGGCAAGAAGGTACAGAGGCCCTGCTCTTTTTGGAGATGGGGGTTCCTTTGCCCTGACTGCCCCCAAGCCCTTGACCAACCCCAGGCCAGAACAAGCTGTCCTTTCCCTGCAGGAAGCCAGGCCTATGACACTCCCCCTCTCCCCAGTTTGATCCATCAGACCAAGTGGGAAAGGAGAGGAGAAGAGAGGAGAGGAGAAAGCGAAGGTAGATCTGTCTCAGCCCCTCCTCCCCCTCCCCTACTCGGGACGCCTGGGAGCAGCCAGCCCCAGTTTGCATTAGGGAGCCGCTCAGATGATTAAGAATAGGGGAGATAATTATGTGTCAAGATGATGTAGCCCAACTCTGCAGTCAGGCCAAGGTAGCAAGGCAGCTGGCAGGCCGGTCGGTTGCAGGAGGCAATCTCGGCCAGGGCTGCAGACATGCAGGTGTGTCCTTCAGCTGGTGGGCCCAGGCTGCAGGCCCATGAGAAAACTGATTTGGGAGACTAAGGGACCATGGGTGCCTGTCCAGGGGCTCAACCCTAGAGGGAGTGGAGTTTGAGGCTTCTCCCTCCAGGAGGACCTGGGTCCCTCTCTGGCCCCCAGCAGGGTGGCACTATCCTAGAAGTGTCACACCCCTAGGGCAAGCTGTGAGCCTCTGTGTCCTGCTCCTGCCTCTGGGAACGGTGCAGCCTGTTCCTCAGCCGGAACCGAGTGGCGGTGGTGGGCGTCCACGAGGACGACCGTGGCTGCAGTGTGTGCTCGCATGGTTGGAGACGACCTCAGCGGCAGTTACTGGTGTTCACAGTGATCATACCCAGAGCTTTACCGGCAGTGGCACGCAGAATATGGGCAGCGGTGTTCATATCTACGGTGATCATATCTACGGGGATATTAGTAAAAGGCCGATCAGCTGTGACTTGGGAGGAGGCGGCCGGGACTGCCAGCCCGCCTGAGACTCCTTCCTGCGCCTGGGCTTGTGGGAGTAGGGGAAAGTTCAGACTTTCCTTTGACAAATGCACCGGTCAGGAAGCTTTGACCCCACTCCCGAGAGTCCAAGAGCTCCCAGACTGAGACAAGGAGGCAGGCCGGGGATAGATGAGGAAGCTCCATCATGCAGCATGTGGGAAACAAGTTGTCCATCAGTCTGAAAAGGTAGAATTCCATTCCCTACCCTGTCCCACCTTCCCTTCCTCTTAGCCACAACTTGGGCTGGATCCCCTGGGTCCCTGGCTTCTTTGCCTGGAGGATAGAGACTGTATTGCCTGGTCTGCAGTCAGGCTGAGAACCCACAGGCCCTTTCCTTCACCCTATGGCTATGGGCTGGGGCCCAGAGCATCGCTGTCCATCAGTGGTGGTGTTGGAAACACAGAACAGGTAGTTAACTTGTCCAGAGACCCAGATGAAGTCATATGGTGAAGGCCTGTTGAACTGTGTGAGGGAGGTGTGTTGGGATCCTCCCTGGATGTGGGGGGTTGCAGGGGGCTGTGCTTTTGCCTTCCATTAATTAGGTGCACAATGAGTTGTGCCATTGAGTGGTGCCAAGCCAGTGCCATTGTGCGTTTGCAGGCAGGGCAGGTTGCATGGCTGCAAATGGCTGAGTCCTGCCACTGCCTTTAATAGCTCCCTTCTGCTTTGGATGAAGCTGTAACTGGAAGAAGCAGTTTATTTCCTTAGTTAGCTCCTTCCTTGAGGTCCCCAAGAGTGTTGCTCAGGTTAGACTTGGAGCAAATGAGGGGATTAGGCTGCAGAAATGAGCAACACCTGCCCATGTCCAGGAGCCCTAGGTTGAGGCAAGAGAAGGCTGCAAAGACTCCTAGCAGGATGGAGGGTGCAGGGCGGAGGCCAGCGTGCAAGCCCTGGAGCCCAGCCTGGGTGGGCAGTGTGGCTTGGCGGGGAGGAATGTCGGCTGGCAGTGAGGAGGGAGGCACGGCTGGGTGTGAATCCGAGGGCTACTCAGCAGCTGTGTGACCGTGGGCAAGTCACTTGAGCTCCATCAGCTCTGGTTTTCTTCAGTAAAATGGAGATGGTAACAGCGCTCACTTCCCCGGGATCTCTGGGGTGGATTGGCATCAGGTCGTGACAGTAGATGGGTTGAGCCAGCGCCATCTTGGAAGATGGGTCCTGCGAAGAAAGGAAGCCTGTTGGCAGTTTATGTTTCAAGGGGAAACAGAGTTGTGTCAGGAAAAAATTTATTTGGCACAGTCCCTAACCTTGGTGCTGCTCCTTGTAAGTGTGGCTGGTGTTGAGTGACGTGGGGGAGACGCTAACCCCAGTGAGCCCAGTGAAGGGGAGGAGATGGTCGGCCTTGTTTGCCCATGTGGGTGTGGGATCTCAGTGCGTATCTGCCATCTCCTTCACTCTGTTGTTACCCACCTGGACCACACGTCCTCTTTCACCCTGCATAGGCGTTTCAGATGTGCACAAAGACCTAACATGGGTCCCTCACTCCCTGTATGTCTCTGATCACCTCTGCTGCCACCTGCAGTGTATCCGGGTTGGGGAATGTGTGCTTGTTTTAGAGACACATATGTAATTTTTCACATGGTTTATGCAGGCATGTGTGTGTGTGTGTGTGTGTGTGTTCTCCCATGCTGAGATCTTGGGGTGTAAACAGACATGGAATGTCACGCATCAGGAAGGCAACGAAGTTTTCTGGGAAATGTATGTGCTTGGAGAGAGTCCCAGTTGTGAGCGCTGCGTGTCCACCAGTGCTGGTGAACACGACAGGTGTGAGCCAGGCCAGAGGGTGTTCAGTGTTCAGGGTTCTCATGCATAGGCGTCCATGTAGAGTTTGACCCAAAGGGCCCCATAGGCATTACCCCAAGTTCTACTGGCAAATGGATGGGCTTTTCTGAGCCTGCCTTGAGGGGTAGCTAGGGCCCAAGTCTAGGGGGGCTGAGGCTGGGGACCCTGCCTGCTCAGGTCGTGCAGGAGTGTGGCTCAGAGCTTTGGAGTCCTTTGAAGTGGAGCCCAGGCTCCTATTTGCAGAGTCTGGCCCCCAGTCTTCCAGCTGCCTATCTTCCAGGATCTCTCAGTGTTTGTCTGTCTCTATTTGCTCTAGTCGAGGTATACACTGATCCTGCCCACATTAGAGGAGGTGGAGGTTTGCATCTGGTCTGGACTTTAAGAGGTATGAGGGTCAGAGGGAACATGGTGTGGGGGCCCAGGGAAATAGCTCGGGGGTGGTGGTGAGAGCATCCAGAGAGTGGGTTCCTAACAGCCAGCATGTGGAAAAGGAAGGAGGAGGTGGCCCAGGCTTCCACAGGACACCCAATAGGCTAACTAACACAGAGTCTCAGGGCTGGGCTCACTGCTGCCATGGGCCACTGATGGGGTTCGGGGGCTAAGGCCCCGGTGGCCTGGAGGGTCAGGCACTCCAGGGATGGGGGCACTTTTTCCAGCCCTTGGAAAAACAAAGAGCAGATCGGGTAGTAAAACAAAAGCAAAGGAGACCTGGAAGCACCTGACAGCCCTAATTCATCACGGCCCAAGTTTTTTCCTGTGTTCCCATTATATTTGTTTGTAAAAGTGGAAATCAATTTTGAAGGTAATTTTCTGGAAAGAATGGAAGGGAGGTGGGAGGGCCGGATAAGGCAGAGATGGTAAAAGGAAAAATTTAGGCCAGGCACAGCCCAGGGGCAGCTCTTGGCAAGGTGAAAGAAAATTGCATATTCAATCTCCATCCATGAATCTCCCTCACTGCTGCCCGCCTCCTGCTTGAAAACAATGAAGGCTTTTTCCCAACGCTGGGCAGGGCCTCGGTATCAGCCTCACTTTAACTTCAGGGTCATTAATTCCCTGATTATTGAAGGAGAAGAGAGAGTTGCAGCATCGTCAATTCCAATGGCACCCCCTCCATGAGATCAGGCACTGGCTGGGGTGGGGGGGTGGGGGTCAGCCAGGGTGAGGTGAGGGTTACTTCAGAAGGGGGCAGGGGAGAAGAAATGGGGGAGCCAACCGGACTGGGGGGAAGGAAGCCAGGAGGAGGAAGGGAGAAGGCAGCCATTACTGCATACCTCTGTTGTGTTGTTATTGCAAATTAAAAGTAGCATGTTCCACTCCACAGCTATCTTTGGGGAGGGAGGGGCGCCGAGGGAGGTGGGGGATCTTATCATTGCTTCTTCAGCAGACCAGCCAGTGGTGTCACCGTGTGAGGTGACATTTGAATTTACAATTCCGCTGAGAAAAGCCATTAATTCACAAATTAACATTTCTCCCTCTCCCTCTCTCTTTAACACTCTCTCCCTCTCTCACATGGATGTGCAAGCAATTGAAAAGACAAAGGAAATAGCCTTAAGGAAGAGACTTTACTGCTAGTCTGTCTGTGCTGAGATTGCTCCCCCTGCTTCCAGAGAGATAAACCAATTACCTGAGCAGCTCCGCTCCTGGCCGCCAGATCCCTCCTTTTGTAGGCTGCCTCCATGGCTGGATTACATGCCATGTATCTCATTAATGTCAACCAGGCGTGCCTGGTCACCAAGCCCTCTTCCCGCCTCTCCTCCTGGAGGGGCCGCGGGGGAAGTGTGGGTGTCGTGAAGGTGGGCAAGGGGACCCTGGTGAAGAGGAGAGGCTGCCCAGGTCCGGGATCTTTGGGATGGCCACAGTATTGCAGGAGACTGGAGGCGGGTCGGAGCGCTCCCCGGTCAGCTTGCCCTGAACACCAGAAGGCCGGGCATGCGCCCGTGTGTAGCAGAGGCTGGCGCCAGAGTCGGACTCTCAGTGGCCTCATGGTCCAGAAGCAGTGTCTGACGGAGCCAGAGAAGGATCTGAGCTCTCCCTGCAAGGGAAGGGCTTGGGGCAGTTCTGCTGAGTAGGCACTATTTTAGCGGGAAGGGATTCAGCCTGAAGGAGCTGGGGAGGGGGAGGGGGAGAGGGATGGGGGGAAGCTTGGGGAGGCCCAGAAAGCAGGATGAGGTAGCACCATGTTGGATAAAGAAAATGAGGCTGCACTGATTCCTTAATCTAAACCCAGCGCTCGGGCATTATGTATGTCTACTACCCAGCCGTTATGTGTACTCACACTCACACACACACACACACACACACACACATAACCAGCCATCTGATTCCCTTCTTAGAGAAGCAGTAATCATCCCTAATCTACAGGGCATTCATTTCAAAACCCCCCAGTGGGTGCTGGAAACTATAGATAGCAGCCAAACTTATCTATATGTACTGTGTTTTTTCCTATACATTCCTACCAACAATAAAAGTTTAACTTGTCAATTAGGCACAGCAAGAGACCAACAACAATAACTACTAACAACATAGAACAATCATAACAATACGTTGACTTGTGACTGTTGATCTGATAACTGAGACAGCTACCCAGTGACCGATGGGTGCAGCAGGGACACGCTGGACAAAGGGACGATTCATGTCCCTGGCATGACAGAGTGGAATGGCATGCGATTTCGTCATGCTACTCAGAAAGGTGCACAATTTAAAACTTATGAATTGTTTATTTCTGGAATTTTCCATTTAATAGATTCAGACCATGGTTGACTGCAGGTGGCTGAAATCACGGCAAGTGAAACTGTGACCAAGGGGGCAGCACTGTGCTCACCTAAGAACGGGGGTGGGGAAAGTCCACAGGCGAATCCACGCAAAGGTGGCCTCTGTCTAGATACGTACTGAGTGTCACTGCATCAACAAAGCACAGCCTGTGTTCATTTTCCAACGAATATTCAAAAGCTGGCTAACGTTCCCTCCAGTGCAAGCAAGAGCCCAAGTTCAAAGGCCGGCTTTCACTAAGACACATGCACAGCAAAAGCACCCACTTAGAGCACACATTAGTTGCTAAGATTTTATCCTCTTAGTAACCAGGAAGCAGTCTGGGGTGGGGGATGACTTCTACCTGAATGGGACACATGTTTTAGCTCAACTCCCTGGGGACGATGACCACGAGTCTGTTGAACACCAACCATATCATCAACCAGGTTTAGGGATAAGTTCTGTGAATGTCTTGCTAAGACATTTGTCATGAGCCCTGGGCACGTGCAAACAACTTGTGTTTTCCTGTGGGGCAGTACTGGGGTTTAGCTGTGGCTGCATAGATGAATTGGTGTTTAAATCCCTGTGTTTGTACCAGAGTCAGCAGCCACATCACAAACCATCTTCATTTCCAACTAACTCATGCTATTGCGGATAAAGAGTTATATTTGGTAGTTTGGGGAACTATTTTGAGATTTAGCATGAAAGAGTGCATTTTTTCATAAAGTGCCAAAAAGTCAGAACACATAGGTTGAGCCCAGACCCCGGGAGAGAAGGCTCAGCACTGGCTCTAGAGGGGTCTGTGGGCATCCCTCCAGACCCCCTCCCCTCCTCTCCCTGGACCGCCGCTTTCTCAGCAAAGGCTGGTGGCTCCTGCGCCCAGCTGCCTGGCGGGCCCCCTGCTGGACGAGTGCGAGCACCTGTCTGGTCAGAATGGCTTCAGCTCCTGCTCCTCCGCTTGGCAGGCCCCTTCCAGCCCTGCAGGTAGCATGGCTCTCCTTCCTCCTCCCCACAAGGGCACCGCGAGAGAAACGTGCTGCCTCAGCTCTGCAGGCTGGGAGGAAGGAGGGAGGAGCCGGGCGTGCAGACTGCTCCCCAGGCCCTGCCTCCTGTGGGTTCACCTCGCGGGTGCCTCCTCTGCACACCAGTAGGTAGCCGGGAAGGACAGGCAGCTGCATGGGGACCCCTTGCAAAGCGAGGTTAGAGAGAATGAAGGGTTTGGAAGACCCAGAAGGCTATCTGCGGGAGGAGCAGTCCACACAGCCGCCTGGGCCATGGCTGCCTGCGCCAAGAACCAGCCCTGGGCCTGGGGAGGCAGCTCTCCCAGCCCCACTTTCCTCAGGGCGCTCTGGGACCCTCCTCGTTCTGCCCAGTGGGGATGAAAAGACGAGGCGGGGGGGGGGGGGGGGGGCTGGTCCTGGCGCTGGAGCGAGTGGCGGCAGAGCCAGTAATTCAAACCATCCTGACCCTTCGGTGAACCCGAACCTGCTGACCTTGACAGCCCAGACAACAGAGGCCTCACAAACCTCAACCTGCTCCGCCGAGACCTCGCCTTCTCTCCCTCCCTTTCTCGGAGCCCTGCGGCCCAGCCTCCAGGTGGCTCCTAAATGGGCCACCCCCAAGAGGTGCCCGCATCCCTTCCTCCCCAAGGCACTGCCTGCCCATTCCAAAGCACCTTTGTGCTCATCTGCCTGGGGGACTGGAGGGGGGGCATCTCCTGGGGGCTGCTTCACCTTTCCCTCAGCCTCCTGTCCCAGGCTGTGCTCTGTGTAGAGGGCTGGCTGCTGTGTGTGTAAGGGCTGGCTGCACACAGAGGCAGGGGTAAAATGTGATCGAGGCAGAGCAGACAAGAGGAGGCAAGCAGCCCCAGGAACCTGCATTAAAGTAAATGCAGTTTATGAAGTTTATGTTTTCCTCTGAGGGAGAGCTGGATCCCATCCAACAGCCTCCCAGTGCCTGCCAAACGGCTCCTGAAGCAGAAAGTGCGGGCAGGAGAGCAAGCCGGTGACAGAGGGAGCCGCGCACAGACACACACACGCACGTGCACATGCACACACGCACACACATCTCCCCAGGCCCTCGCAGCCTGGGAGGGCTGGAGTGGAGGGATGAGGAGGTGTGTTTGGGAGGAGTGACTCCAGGAGCATCCACCTTCCTCCCCACCTCCCTCTGCACCCGCCAGCCCTGTGTCTCCTTGAGGCGGTGTGGCCACCTGGGGCTGCCAGCTCTGGGCAAGTGCCGTGTGAACGGCCCTGGAACAGTGGGTGTGGGGTCTGAGCAGCTGAAAGGACTAGAATGTGGCACCATGGGGTCTCCCAGAAATCTGCTTTTTCTCCTGATGCTGGGCATCCATTTTTCTCTGGCACCTTGATCTAGACCCAGTGGGTACCTTGTGGCTGCTGAAGCTAGCTTTTGGGTCTCTTAGGGAGACACAGTTAAGAGCTGTGTGTATTTTATTCCTGGGAATTAAAAGGAGATAAATGATGGACAAGGTTAGGGCGTGGGAGTACCCAGAAGGGCTTATAAATGAGTTAGAGTCTCTGTCCATCTAGACGCTGCTTTGTGTGCCCAAGTAGATGGGTGTGCACGTGCACGTGCTAGTGTGACATGGAAGTGGAACAGGGTCGTTGACTTTAG